GCCAGAAGGTCGACAACAAGGGGGTCATGATGCTCCGTTGCACGTTTTGCAACAAAGTTTTCCAAGGGACCCAGTTTCAGGCCACGAGGCACTTCTCRCAGACAAACTACTGCAAGGACGTCAGCGACGAGGCGTTGTACGAGATTGCTCGACGGACTCAGCAGAAGTTTGAGGCCGATCAGATGGAGAGGGTGTCGAGGTATGCAGCGGAGCGCGGACTCGATGTGCCCGGCACGGGTGGTGCAAGGGGAGGAGAGGTGGGGCGGCGTCCGACGGAGGGAGGGGTCGGGGGAGATGGTGGGCATGGTGCGGCAGACCCCACTTTGGGTGGTGGAGGCGGTGAGACAAAGGAGGGCGTGATCCACGTGGATCGTGAGGCGCGTGGCCCGGGTGACGAGGGAGTCCCGGAACGGGAGGACGTGCCTGAGGTTTATCCAGGCACTGAGGAGAGGTTGGAGGACTGGCGGAGGCGAGCAGGCAAGGGAGCTGCAACGGAGGGGTCTTCCAAGAGGAAGGAAGGAGGGAGTGATCCGACTGCCACCCCAACAGGGAAGAGGCTTCGGCAGCGGAAGGTGACTGATGTCTACGGTGGCGAGTGGGTTGCCCGCCACAAGAAGGCATTCCTTCGCTGGTTGTATTCCAGCGGGGTCTCCTTCAATGCCTTCCGCAACCAGGCGTGGAAGGCATATCAGCAGGTGCTTCTTGAGCAGCCTGGCAGTTCCCCACGCGCAGTGCTCCCCAACCACTACGAGATTGCGAGTATGCGGGCGGTGGAGACCCACCGTGCGGAGTTGGCGGAGGAGTTGGAGGAGGTGAGGCAGCCATTTTGGGTGACTGGTGCCACCCTCCTCTCCGATGGGAGGAAATCATGAGACGGGAGACCGATCGTGAATTTCCTTGCTGCTGGCTCTCGAGGGGTCATCGTGTACACGACGATCAATCGAGAGGGCGAGACGGACGATGCAGTGCACGTCCTTCATAGATGGGTTACCATCTTCCACGAGTTCAGCTTTGGCGGGCCGCAGCGGATCAATGCGATATGCACTGACTCCGCTTCTGCCTATGTGGGGGCTGCGAGGGCATTGACCCCGCCGTCCATGCCTCCTGCACTGAGGAGGATCACTTGGCTCCCGTGCTCCGTCCATGTCTGCAACAAATTGTTGTCAGACATGGGGACGAGTTGCGACGCGTTTGTGGACGCGATCACACACGCTCGTGTGCTGGTGGTGTTTTTCAAAACCCACCGGGCCGCCCTTCATTTTTTTAGGACGCGCAACCCCGAGAAGGGGCTTATTCTTTCTTGCGAGACGCGGTTCGCGTCTGTTTACTCCATGCTGGAGAGGCTGTTGGCCCTGCAGGACACTTTGCAGGACATGATGCGAGGGGACGACGCGCGGGCTTTTGCTTCCATCCCGTGGTCCGCCGATGTGTGCGTCATGGCGCGGTGGGTGCGCCGACAGATCAGATGGGATCCATGGTGGCAGAGGGTGGCCACCATCGTCCATATCATGCAGCCCGTCATGGAATTGCTCAGGAGGATGGATCGTGGAGGACAGTACATGTCCCTCATGATCGAGTGGACGCAGGATCTTGTCCGCAGTGTCACGGTCGCATGCGCCCCTTTGGGGACGTCGTTCGCCGACCGGATCATCAGGCGTGTGCAGGCTCGCATACAACACATGCTTGAGCCGGCTCATTGCGCAGGGTTCTTACTGAAACCCCGCAGGCGACACGTTCGCTAACTTTCGGGGCAGGTGGAGAGGTACGATGCTTGGCTTGTGGGGCAAGCCAAGAGGTACATTTTGACGCAGACGGGATTCGAGCTGGAGGGTGCGGAGTACATCCTTGCATGTCGGCAGTTTGAGGACTTCCACATTCAGCAGGGCAGGTTCGGGGATTGGGGCGGTCCGGAGGGGCGTGCTCGTGGGCGCGCGTGCAGCGGCGACAGCGAGACGATTGAGTGCGCGTCTTGGTGGTCTCAGTTCGGGTCGGGTGCGCCACAGTTGCAGCGTTGCGCTCTTCGGGTGATGCACATGTGGTCTTGCGCCTCTCCAGCGGAGAGGAACTGGGCAGTCCACGAGGGCATTCACACGAAGAAGCGCAACCAATTGGCCTTCGAGAAGGTCGTGCAACTCATTGAGATCACCGCAAATGTGCGGTTGACTGAGTATCGGCGGGCTGGATGCGGTTATGTGCTGCCATGGCAGCGGGACGAGGGCATGTTGGATTGCCAGGCAGGACTCGAGTTGGAGCCTGTGCGCACGGGAACTCGCAGGGGGATGACGGACGAGGAGATTGCCCGTCAGGTTGCACTTATTACCCGGGATCCCATCGGGGCGTCCGCACCACCCTTGGCTGATGCCGTTTTCGATAGACGTGCTTGCATTTTTCGTCCCTACCCTAGGGACGACGACTCAGACGAGGAGCCGATACCCGAGGCGGCAGATGACCCTGTGCTCCGCATTCCCCGGGAGATCGAAGAGACGCACGAGGATCCCGACTTCGAGGACACGAGGACACAGACTGCATGACGGGCGGCGGACTGGGCGGAGAGCGAGATGCTGGGGGGAGACGAGGACTTTTGGGGCCCATTTGGTGAGGTCGCTTCCACGGGCGGCCCAGAGGCGCAGGCGACGATCCCCACTCCGACGAGGCGGGATTCGTCCATGCCGCCACCTGTTGCTCCGAGTCGTGCACCACGATCGCCTGTCTCGCCACTTCAGCCGGACAGGGAGTAGTTGGGGTCCTCTTTGCCTCAGCGAGGCCTTCTCCACAGAGGCGGGGCAGTCCGCCAGCTTAGGTTACGATCACCTTCCCCGGGGATAGGGCAGGAGGAGGGGGGACCTTCGGCAGCAGCAGTGGAGAGTTCGATCGCACCAACGGCTGTGTCGGACGCGACGATCGCGGCCGCGGTGGAGGAGATAGCAGGAGCAGCAGTAGCATCAGTGCTAGAGGAGATGGCAGCATCAGTGCTGGCGGAGGATCCACCAGCGGCAGGACGAGGTGCAGCAGTGGAGGGGCAGGTGGCAACAGCAGGAGGAGCAGGTGGAGGAGCAGCAGCAGTGGAGGTTGAGGTGGCAGCAGCACTGGAGGAGGAGGATGCACCGCCGGCAGCTGCAATGGAGGAGGAGATAGCCGCACAGGCCGAGGTGCAACGTGGGGGCGATGATGAGCGCCTCATGCAGCAGTTCTTCACGGAGGAGCTCGGTTCGGCCATAGCGGGTATGACCCCGGGTGTGGAGAGGGGGTTTGGGATTTCAGATTCGGAGATGGGGACCCACTTAGACTTGGATTTGTCGGTTGGCCTTCCACCCAGTTGCGGTGGGGCGACATCGACGGATTGGGCTCCATCGAGGGACGAGGCGCCAGGCAGGACTTCGACGCAGACCGCCAGAGAGAGGACGACGACTCAGTCTCCAGATGCAGCACACAACATCATGGAGCGAGAGAGGGCTAGACTTTTGGCATCGACTGACCCTCATGCTCAGGCGTTCGCACGGGCCGTAGAGGACGCCAGACGTCTAGAGATAGGGGGGGATTGTGTGCAGGGTGGGGTGGTGGTGGGGGAGGACTTTGCGGAGGGAGTGGCAGCAGAGCCGGTACCCGAGGCTATGCCGGGTGGAGCAGAGACAGCGGACGTTACTGTGGAGGGACGGACTCAGGCGGTGGATGAGGCAGTGCAGGCAGGACAGCGACGAGTCGAGGGGGCTATAGACTCATAACGCGAGGGGCAGGAGACAGCGACGGGTCCAGTCGTTCCGTTCTCGGGCCTGCACTTGGCTCAGGCCCGACAGCCGCAGGCGGTTCAGATGGCAGTGCATGGTGTGCCACCGCTCGTTATCACAAATTTGGGGTCCGAGACGGTGGTTGTGCCCCCACGTCTTCCTAGCCACTTTGCTCCGCAGGAGGTCCGTCGTCCTTTGGATGCAGAGGAGTTGGCGAGAGAGGCTGTGCGCGATGTTACTCGCTTGGACCGGCGGATCTTTGACCGGAAGCTCGAGCACCCACCGTGGCAGTCGATCCCTTCGGTTCCATGGGGTCCTGCGTCGCCCGTGTGGTCTGGGTCTACCTCCACTGGAGGACATACCGCGGGACATGTTCCAAGGGTTTCGGGTGGCGTGACGGAGACAGCGCCACGCACAGGAGACATGCCACCCCCTCCTCTCAGAGCACCTGCAGGTGATCCATCATCGTCACCCACAGGCAGAGGCTCTCGATCCCCACACACGCCTGGGAGATCTAGAATTCGTGACACGACAGCAGTTCAGCAGGACGTGTGTGTCACGACGGTATTCGGGAGGACAAATATACATTTGGATTCCACCCGCCGTGTCACGGAGCACACTGCATGCCTTCAACCGGGCTTGGGAGGAGGAGGCGCTAGGACGACCACTGCGAGGGAGGTACCGGCATCGGGTTGTGAGCCTCAGCGAGGTCGTGGCAGAGGAGTGTCGACCGATACCTTGGAGTACGCTCTGAGAGCAGCGACACGTGCCGTGTAGGAGCAGACTCCACGCAAGCATGGAGTACCTCCTCGTCCACGCCCCGTGCCTGCAGAGCTAGGCGCAACACTTGGAGAGAGTTCGGGGGCGGAGGGGTTGGGGATGCCTCGTGGTTCCCGCCGTGAGCAGACCATTGCAGAGGCTAGTGCGAGGGTTGTTGTGTTGAGGAAGGGAGGAGGCCCAGTCACCATCGAGGAGGATGATCCTCATACGGATGCGGCTGTGCGGGATGCGGACGAGGACTACGAGGGCGAGGAGGAGGGAGAGGAGGATAGCAGGAGCGGTTCCGATGGTGACGACGACGACGACTACGATGAGCCCCCACCTTCCCCAGGACCCCCACCGACGCGTACATCTAGACACTCCGCTGCATGGACTTGTTCATCCTCACGAGGGAGGTAGAGGTCGACATCCGACACTCGAGGGGGCACGAGGAGACACAGCGGGAAGGGGAAGAAGGGTTGTTGACCGATGAGGCCAACACTCCGCTTCTCCCCTTCTCGCACTGTACGTCGTCATGTTGTGCGGTTGTAGTTTTTTTGGTAGTCTGAGTCGTCTCGTCTTGTCTCAGTATTGTCAGACACTCAGTGGTTGTGTGCGTGCTTTACTTGTTGGTGTGTATGATTTTGGTAGCAGTAGGGTGTTCGTAGAGTATGATTTTGGTGCCAGTAGGCTGAGTAGGGTGTTCGTAGTGTGCCGTCGGTTGCACACTACTGAGTTCAGATAGTAAATTTTTTTCTTTCTTTCTTGTATCATTTAGGCAGCTACGACACGACTTGTAGACTATTGTTTCTTGTATTTTTTTCGACATGTGGTGCCAATGCATTAGCAGTAGCCTGTAGGATACATTGTATCATGTTGCATTTGCATGTGTGATATTAGTGTCAGCCTGTCAGGTACTTCGCATCGTCCACGACTTTTCATGTACATTACATTTTCTGTTATGAGTGATGCACTTTGCCTGCCCATATTGTCGGTGTGTGGTTTTATATCTTTAACTTTTGTTCTCATTTTCAATTTAATTTCTTGCATTTTTTTCTTTTAATTTATTTATGGCTTCGAGAGTTTGGTACTTGTTTTTTTTTCTATCTTATTTGTTGATTCTATTTGCATTGAATGGAACACTAACTGATGTTTCGGGGGGTGCCCAGGGTGGGGTTTTTTGTGGTGGGGTGGGGCCGGGGC